ACGTAGTTATTCAAAATTTAACGGCTCTAGGTAGTGTTGTTTGTGACAATCACAATGTGAGAAATATACATACATTTAATGGAGATTCTTCATCATTTACTTTCTTTAAATATAATACATGGGTAGGGTACAAACTGCGCGAAATTTGATCGAAGAATCCCCCCCTCTTATCTAATCCACGAATTGCGCGAGGTTTTTCTGTCCCCTCTTTATAAGAACTTGAATTTCCAAGAAGATTGGGTGCTACAAAAAGTCATTTATCGCCATTAATGGGACATTTTTTTGAGACTGCAAGCCTCTATTTTCGTTTACCAATATTGTAAAAATTGTGTATACAAAACAAATATTAATTTAAAGTCTGGTTTGTGCTAAAGAAAAAATGAATTTCTTTTACACTCATTTTAAAGTTTTATGATGCTTAGAAGAATGATAAGTCAGATATTTTTTATTCTCTGTAAGAATTAAAAACTTTCCAAGTTGCAGATTTTAGTTGCTGATATATATTTATATATATATATATCAGTTATCAGTTTTGAATAATAAAATTGATAGATCAATTACATACACAAAACTGATACATAATCAACCTATCAAATATCGTACTTGCAGAGCACCTTAAATAAATTTCTTGTCTAGATAAATATTAACAAATCTTCTCAGATAGCAGAATGGTTTTAACTTTCAAATTTACCGTTTTAGGTAAACAGTTCTAATTTAATTTAAACAATATTATTGCAATATATTGCCGTATTAAGCTTTCCATTTTTAGTCATTGAAGTTATTTTAAGGTTATTTAACTTTCTTACAAATTCCATATTTTAATACTAGAAACCTTTAACCGTAAGATCGCACGATTAATTATTAATTAAATATTTATTCTGTTTTCCAGTTACTCTACCTGATGTACTTTGGCATACATTTAATTTCTAATACATATTTAATTAATAAATTGATAATTATGAGCGTCTGCAGAATTTTCATAATTGACAAAAAAAATTCGAAACTCCCTTATATTCATATCTTGGGATTTTCAGTTCCCTTTTAATCCATTCTTTTTTCACATATTGTTGCACTGTATTCAAGTTTTCATGTATGTAGAATTTATATATTTTGTATTGTATTTATGCCAATTTACATTTAAATGATAATTTTTACAAATTCTTGCATTATACTCTAGTTAAGAGAAGATTTTTCTAACACCTTGGTAAAGCTTAATCTTTACCATGCAGCTTATTTCTAACCTAGTTTCAGGCTGAATTATTTGTAAAATTAATTATTTGAAATTATTTGTTAACAAAGATGGTCGCTAAATCACGCTAATAATATTTCTAACTGTTGAATTTATAACGCAACAAGTTCATGTGATTTATAATAATAGAATTCATTTATAATTTTTTCAGCAGTATTGAAATTAATAGCAGATATTGATGATGTTATACATTTAGATTACAATGATTTAGCTGCCATTGCCTTCTTCACTGATGCTTTTATGCTACATTCCTTATATTTCATAATGGCATACAGATAAGTTTAACTCATTCACCAAACATGTAAATCTCTAATTCAGCCCCCTTTTGTTCTTACGTGTGCTGTATCTTTTATGTTTTTTTTAATATATTGTTCAGCCTAATTTCAAAAGGCTCATAATCAAGCGGAAAAGTCACTAAACATTGGTAATTCGACTTGAGTTTCTAATCCCAGAGATTGATCTGTAACAATTCGGGTTATCAGGCACAGAAACAGTATCTGCCCAGTTTTTTGAGGCAGTCGAGGAAAACTTTGAGCTGTAAGCATTTATTCCAAAATTTCAGAAGTATGCTGGACTTGGTGGCGGGTCGTTACTGGAGTTCGGATGATTGATGTCATTGCGAATTTTCTTTTGTTCTTCGGTGTTTTCAACTTCATTACTTTTCAGTAATACTGTGACTAGTATGGCATTTAGAGCTGCTTGCTGCTGTTGCGCCTTCGCTGCAGTTGTTGTTGAGATGGGAACTGGAGTTGTGGTGGCCTGAATAATTTTTTTGCAGCCATTTTGTGCAGTGGGCCATATACATTTTTGTTGTTGTTGCAATAATCATGTCATGTTTCAGTTTTGCTTCGATAATTAGTTTCTTGTAGTTACCCTTTCGTTTCTTAAAATTTTTGTAGATTTCCAGCTTTTCAGTTTCAGAAGCTGCCGATTTTAGCTTTATGCGAAGGGCACAGATAAAGACTACACCATACCGAAAAAATTCCTTAAAAGAACATTTAGTCAAGTTTCGCAACCACTGATCAACAAAAGTTTTCAAACCCTCTTTTTAGCGAAGACGAAATGGAGCAAGAGGCAACTAATGACGAAGCAGGTAATCGAAACAGAACGCAGAAATTAATAAGAATTAGAAAAATGAGAGCTATGTTACGCCAAATAAGAGTGTAAATAAAATTCCGCCTATTGTCATATTTGAAAGACACATAGACTGGAAAAAGCTCAGAGAGGAACTGGAACCTATTTCTAGCAGGAAAATCACCCGTGATTCAGAAGAGAAAACCTTTAATATCAAACTATACGAAGCAGATGATCAAGGCCGAATTTAGACTTGATAAGGCCCTAAGCTATTTGAGATATGGGCCCTTTATAAGTCCATATATTATATGTCAGTTCTAAATATGATTTTTGGGGCCCCCAAGAAAGTGGGGGCCCTAAGCTACAGCTTGTGTAGCTTTTATACGTAAATCCTGCACTGCAGATGATTACCATAGAATAATAACGTCCCTACATTATATCGGTTTGCAATTTCATACTTGTACTTTGAAATCGGTAAAACCTCAAAAAAGCGGTTTTGAAAAAACTACACCAACTGTTGTATAAGTATCGTAGAGCGAATTCACCATTTTGTGACTCATGCTATACGATTGAAAATACAGAATTTGCAATTATTCACTGCAGAAAGTAAGATAGTGACAGAAACATTATGTTCAAGAAAATGAAAATTAGCAATATTGACCTCTTAGCTGATCTTTTAAATCATTGTAATAAGAAACCTTGGAGATATTATCCTAGGCAAATTTGTCATCAAATACATCCTAAAGGACTCATAAGTACTATTAATGTAAGGGTTTGGTTTTCGGACCGACGTCCCCCCCCCCTGAATTGGAGGGAATGCGTCCTTGTGGTTTAACATGTAAATAACATTATATTTTAGTTGGAGCATAAGGCGTCAAAGAGAAGCCAAGCTTCAAGAAGAGGAAGAAGAAGAAACTACTCTCGAATACATCCATTTCCGATACAGAAGAATTTGAAAATTCCTTACTACATAGTAAAATAACTCGCAAAATAAATTTAAGAATGGCTCATTTCTGCACATTTACGAATGGAGATGGAAAAAGTATGAATAAATTTACCTACTTTATACCGATAAAAGTCTTGGTAAAACCATATCGTTCAAAGCCTGAAGCAGTGCAGTGCCAAAGCGCAACAGTCATAAAATGCGTTTTCACAAGGCTAGGTATACGTGATATGCGCATCGTTGGATTCAACAAGGGAATATGATCACATGGAGGGAAACGGTACTAGCAGGTGCATTCTGTGTGGTGGGCGTGCATATGGCGGCAAGTGCATTCTGCATAACGCATACAGTGTGCCCAGTACCCCCCCCCGAACCAAGAATAAACCAACAGCAGATAACAAACCAATTTAAGAACACAAACATATGGAAAACGAAATTCCTTAATTAACTCCAACGGCAATGACGAACTTAGATGCCGGATGGACAAAATTCAAACTATGCCAAAATAAGGAAGAAACCGAAAAGGCTAACTCAGATTCCTCAATACATAAAATTTTACGCCGAAATAAGCAAGACAAAATCCTTGCAACCGAGCTTTCCTTGCAGACTGGCTAGTTACAGCCAAAAAGGCTTTTGGACACACATAAAAACACAAAATCACTTACTAAAAAAAAAATCACAGATCAGTATCGAAATTTCTGAAATCCTCAATATTTCCTAGCTATCAAGACTCAACAGCTAATCAAGATAGTATACACAGCATAGGGGTAGGAAACTGTTAAATTTAGGTCTCTTATGTCAACGGCATGAAAAATCATCAGTTGATTACTCTTAACAACAACAAACAGCAATGGTAGGATTCTAGAAATTTTGCCAATCAACATGGAATCAAGATTACTGTATCAAATACAATTCATTACAAAGCATTGGCAGAAGTTCAGGACATTCAGATTACTGAAGGAGTACAATATACGCTACACAACTTTGGAACTCGCTGAAAACTAAGTTCAGACCATTTTCCTGCCCCCCCTTTTTTCCCATTAAAGGCTCTACCCACCAATTAAAAAATACAGGAAGATTACCAATTGGAACAAATTTAGGGATCATTTGAACTCTATACGGTGCAGTTTGGAATTAAGTCCAATTTCTGACATTGAACTTGCAATAATAAATCTGAATAATAGTTTCAAGAATACGCTAAACTGTTTAGCAAGACAATTAATTCCACAAGTTAATCGTAATGCTTTATACCCAACTATATCGAAGATAAAATCCAGATTAAATATCTGATGTGAATACCAGATGACTTCCTTGTTCGGTGTCTATTAAATGTTTTAAACTCTATATATGCAATTTCCTAATATCGTATTTATATAAAAAACATAAAATAGTAAAAATATAACTATAAATTGTATGCAAAAGTCCTATTCAATTTAAAAAAAAAAAAACCATCTGCTGTGGACACCACATGACTACCTTGTACGGCCTATAAACGCATTTTTTGTTGAACTTCATTTTAAACTTATTTCCTAGAATTTCATTCGAAATACATTTCTCATTCACTCAATTCAGTTCTCACTTCGCGACAAGGCAAAAATACGTTAAAACTCAAACTCATGCAAGAATATGATTATTATTAGAATATTAGTATAAACACTATACTTTAAACTATTTTCTTTATTCATAAAGCAAAGTTTTATCATTTAGGTTTGAAGGCTAATAAAAATGATAAAGTGCCTGAAAATCTAATTAAGTACATTAAAATTTTAATTGCTTATAAATAATACAAAGTATCGGTAAATGTATCAGTTGATTTTTTAGACCAAATTATTTTTCTCTGAATCACACAGCCCGGAACTCTTATTTCTTTATTTATGCGATCTGCCTACAGAACAATCCATTCCCTTTATAATCGTCATCACATCTGCAGAAACTTGTTCCATCTTCAACAGTGAAGCAAAAGGCATGGGTGCCACATTCGTCATCATGTTTACAAGTAGCAATTAACTGAGATTCTTTATCTTCGAAAGAAAAAATTCCATGTGAAGCTTTTGGTAGCTTAGGTTTGTTGTTGTCTATAAAGAACGGAAGTTTTAAAGAATTTACTTGATCTATAAGCTGCGGTACATTATGCAATTTGCTTCTGTCCCCTTTCATGGAGCTGTAGACTGTTTGATGTGATCGTCCATTTAAAGCATTTCTTACAGAATGTAAATTATCACCAAAGTTTTGCTGTATGTTCATTGGTAACTCAACGGGTGAGTTACCAGAATAATAACTTGAATGTTCATTATTGCGTTTGTGACTGTTTTTATAAGTTTCTTTGTCAAAGAATCTTTCTCGAGCATTATCTAGAGGAAATGAGTATGAATACATGTCATCTGCGTCTCTATGAAACTGGTTATCATTATCAGCTTCTAAGCTTCTCTTTCTTCGATGTATGATGCCTGCATTTGTATTTTCAACTTCATCCAATGATTGAACTAGAAACATAAAAACAGGAGGTTAACACAACTCAGTAAATTCCATTAAATTTAATTCAGAGCCTATGGTCCCCTGCATTTTAGTTTACCATTTAGATTACAGGAAAAAAGAAGAACCTATTATATGTTACGAAATTTCCCTCCTAACCCACCTACCCCCCAAAAAGAAAAAGAAATAAAAAAGTGTGAAAGCCTTCAGATTTTACATTACACTCAAAGGGGCATGTTTTTAACGATTTGTGTGTTACCTTTATTTATTAAATATCATGTTCTTCGTACTTAAACCATGAAATTCAATTCAACAGCAATATCGCAAAATATCTAAAAACAGTATATATATCTTCAGAATTTCCGACTAACAGTCTCGCGCGCTGGAAATAACAATGCTTTAATCCGTACAGTGCTACCACTGCTCGCTTTCAGATCGTTGAGTTTGTTGAAAATTCATTACACAAAATATAAAATATAAATTTCAAAATTCAAAATTCGGGCTTCCAGGTGCCTCATGTTCTGGAGAATTTATTAAATGTGGAGAATTGGTGTGGAGAATTCATTAAATATCATGTTCTTTGCACTTAAACCATAAAATTCAATTCGACAGCAATATCGCAAAAGTATTTTAAAATGAGCATATCTTTAGAATTTCCGATACACACTCTCGCGCGCTGGAGATAAAAATGTTTTTTCTGTACAACGTTGCCATGGCTTGCTTTGAAATCCTTCAATTTGCTGATCAAAAATTCGTTAAAGTGTACAAAATATGAATTGTAGGGTCCATGTGGGTTAACTTCTGTCTGAATACAGGAGTAGCAGGAAAAAACTACACAGAAGAAGGGTTCAAACCCTTTAATTAACTCTTTAAAATTTACACTGAGTCAACTCGACGCTAACAAACTTCAAGTATATATATCTTCAAGAATTTCCGACTAACAGTCGGAAACACTTCAATAGGATTCACTGTTCACAGTGAATGTGAGCCTCTACTTGGGCGGTAACTGAAAAGCAGCTAATTGAAAATTAAAAGTTGAAATGTTTAACAAGTGTTAAACTAATCTACGGGGCTCAGCGAGATCTGTACAAACTTCAATCCCCCTTCTAAGCTAGTGGCAGTAAGACAATGCAATTAAGCCACTTGAACCAGCAATAAGCAAACGCACCTACGGCAGAGACGGCACCTAGAGCCTAAACTCGACACTGACAATTAGGGGAATGAAGGCTTATAGAAAAGTCTGAACTTAAAAAAATTTTAAATGTTAGTTAAAATTAATATAAATCCCTACACTATAATAAAACAAATTTCAAATTCCAAATTAGGGCTTCCAGATGACTATATTCGGAGGAAGATTATGTTATTCAAAATTTGATGGCTCTAAGTACCGCTGTTTTATCCCAATGCGAGAAACATACATACATTCATGCAGATTCTTCATTATTTAATTCCTTTAAATATAATACAGGGCGATGATATTGGGTGGCAACAATTTGAAAAGTGAATCAACGTTTCTAGTGAATCGACGCAAAATGCCAAAACGAAATTAATAGTCCTTCTGGGAAAATTGCCCCTTTGGACTAAAAAGATGAAAAAATACGGTATAAGTGTTTTAACCATGCAATTTTTGAACGATTATTTCCAAAATAATTTACACCCCAGAAAATACATTTACTTCAGATTTATAACAATAAATTAGCCAAACTAAAAAAAAAAAAAAGGAATGTTTATTTTTTTTCCTCAGTCAATAAACTCTCAGGTCCCACTTTTGGCATAGTGGTAGGAAAACCGGCTGCGATATCCTTGCGCTATAATTTTAAAATACACTTAATTACACTATAACCATTGATGACTTGCACTAAAAAAGATTATAAAGAAAAAGACTGCAATTAAAAAAAGATTAAAAAAATTTTTTTACCGTTTAAGAAACAATTAAAATTATATTCAAATATAAATTAACAGATTCTGAAGAATGCATGGATGCTGTTAAATGTATATTGTTTTTGAATCATGTTTAAATAGTGTTTAAAAATAAATACTTAAAATACTGTTTAGTCGAAAACCCTATTGCTGGTAAGGGAAAGGAACCTTGGATCCATCTTCCTAATGTTTTCCATCAAAACGGGCACGGAATTGGAGAATACAAACTGTTATCTCTAAGATGCCCAAGAGCCCACCCAAATGAGAGGCTGTTATGCCAAACGAGAGGCTATATCTACAAAAGTATTCAGAACTTAAATGGAAGGTTGAAAAATGTGTTAAAAGGATTCCCGCCCCCCCCCCGCAGTCGAATAATTCATATAAAAAAATTCATCCTCAGAAGATCAGTATTCCCCAAATATCATTAACCTTTTCCAGACGGCGCTCCTTTGTTTAAGATGTTCCCTCTGAACGGAGGAGAGTCGAAAAGAATGCTCCCACAGGACGGGTGGTTTTGCGTCACTTAAGCCTAACTTTAGGGAAAAAAAATCATTCCCAAAAAGTTTAAGTTGTAGCATCAAAATATTTTGTACCATTTTAGATTATTACTTAAGCTATCCTATACATTAAAATTAGCATCTAATAGTCTTTTTTCTTTACTTTAAATGAAAATATATAAAAAAAAAACTGCTTACTTAAAAAATAATTTCCGGATGAACAATTCACATTATTCCGAAGTTTTAATTAACAAAACACATTAAGACACATCTAGACATTAAAAAGTACAAGAAAGACTACTTACAAGAAGAAGTAACAAAATCTTTCACGGGAAGTGAAAGGCAGGCACTCGGAAAGCTCAATCTCTGACAAATGCCCGTATCAGAATCACAACAAATATCACTTTAGAATATCAATCTTCACTTCCATCCATGTCATTAATTGGCTCATTTACTAAGAGAGTATATCTTTTGTCTGATAAATAACGCTTTCTCGTCATAATACACTGGAATCAAGGCTTTCCAAAATAAAAATTGAAGAATGCGAAATATACAGTGGTGGCCAAAATTGTGGACACTTTTGGAAATTTTTATGTTTTTGAACTTTGTATGCTTATAGAAAATGTTACGTTTCGCAAAATGCAAACTTGTATATATCATTTTAAAGAGAATTTATTATTTAATTCAATACAAAACACAAAATTCAATTATTTGTAATACAAAAAAGTTATATGTACTTTAATATAAATAAAAAACACAATTATGAAGTGGTTTGTAATGTCTAGCTTTCCTGGCCAATCACTGTTCTTTTTCTGAGAACCAATCAAATGTTAGTAACTGCCAGTAGAGACATCATGTTTACACTTGAAACAATTCATTATTTTGCTTCGTTCTGTAGAAGGAAGACCTGTTTCTTATACACTGCAATGACAAGTAGGAATTTTTGTAAAAATTTTTAATATTTAGTCAAGAAGCAATGATATCAAATAAAAGAGTAAATTGGACACCTAGAAAGAGATGTAATATTATTGTGTTACGAGAAAGTGGTCTTGCCTATGCTGAAATTGCAAGACAGGTGGGTGGTTCAGTGACTACATCTGGAGTCCGAAAGTTTTGTTTACGATATCAGGTGACAAATTCAATAAAAAACAAAGAAGGAAAAGGCCGAAAAAGGTGCACCACATCTATTGATGACAGAAGAATAAAAAGACTATGTCTCCAAGATAGAAAAAATGTCATCAGCGGCCATCAGAAGTGATCTGAATGATGCTGGTGTTTCTGTCAGTTCAAGAACAATCAGGAGAAGATTAACAGTTGTTGAACTGAGAAGAAGTAGAATTCCATGAAAAAAGCCTTATCTTTATTTTCAACAACGAAAAAAAAAAAAAAAAACTACAGTGGGAAAAGGAACACATTAATTGGACAGATGATCAGTGGTCACAAGTTATATGGAGTGATGAGACTAAGATATCGTTATTCGGTAGTGATGGGCGAAAATATGTAAGACTTAGAATAGGAGAAGAGCTACATCCTGACTGCATTCAAGCAACTGTGAAGAACCCAGATAGTGTTATGATTTGGTCATGCATGTCAGCGAATGGTATTAGTCGCCTTCATGTCATCTATGGGACACTGAATGCCAGAAAATACATTGACACTATTCTAGAACCAAAACTTCTACCTTCCATCAGAGATCTCTTTCCCAACAATGCTTCGTTTATTTTTCAGCAGGATTCTGCTCCTTGCCACACGGCCAAAATATCGAAAGAGTGGTTTCGTACAAAGAGCATTAAATTGTTGTTATGGCCAGGAAACAGTCCTGACCTCTATCCTATCGAAAATTTGCGGCACCGTTTGAAAACTCTTGTCCGAATGAGGCGCCCGTCAAATAAAAGGGAACTAATTGAGGCTATAATTGTTTCCTGGCATCATGTAATAACGAAAGAAGAGCTTAAAACTCTTGTCAGCTCAATGAAACGTCGATGTGAAGCTGTAATCAAAAATAAAGGGTACCCTACTAAGTACTGATAACTCATTGCAATCATCACTATCTAATGTATATCGATAACTATTATCATTTAACTTTTTTTGTATTGCAACTAATTGAATTTTGTGTTTTGTATTGAATTCAGTAATAAATTCTGTTTAAAATGATACATACAAGTATATTTATACAAGTATATATATATTCGCATTTTGTGAAACGTAACGTTTTCTGTAAGCATACAAAGTTCAAAAACATAAAAGTTTCCCAAAGTGTCCACAATTTTGGCCACCATCTAGTGGCATATATTATAGCAACGCAAAGTGTAACAAAACTTCACGTAATAACCCTAAAACATGCAACATTATCTTTTTCTGTATATTTTGTATATAATTTTTTCGTATTGCACCTTGAATTTTTTGTATTTTGTATATGTATATGCTCACCTTTATTGTATTTTTATTTTGTATTTATTTCTGTAATAAAATTGTATTTGCAAATTTATCATGTTTTTTCTCAACATACCTATCATGAGCAACATAAAATCAGACACTCCACATCTTGCTGCCTCTCCTGATCTTGGGCTTTAAGTTCGATACTCAGCTTGTGGCGTCCAGTGGTCACCCCCCCTTTTCTCCCAATTCTGATACCTCCTATCACTCGGTCCAGACACTGATATGTCATGTGCCCTTCGGGCATACTTGTCATGAGCCGGACACGTTGCATCTAATGCAATATTTCGGCATAATTAGTAATGAATGAATGAATGAATGAAATAACCCTAAAACACCATACAAAGTAGAGAAAAAAGAATAAAAAAAGGGATTCAGAAGAATAATCAGAAACGTGAATCTTGATATCACGTGGCGAGTTAAAGAGACAGCCCTGTTTTTATTTACATTATGCTCCCCCCCCGAGTGAGTCATGTTTCTCCCATTTCGAGTAGATGTTCGAATCTACATATATCTCAAATTCTATGGACATGCAGTGACCATCTAGTGGCAAAAGTTATAGTTTTTAAACGTTCCAATTAAAGTTTTTGCAGAGTGGCCGCCCAGTCGCTATGGTAGTCAGGGAAGCTGACTGCGATGCCGAAGGACCTGGGTTCGAATCCCGGAGAAGGCATGGTTGTAACTGTCCGTCCCTTCATAGGAAAGGCGATGATGGCCCACCTATTAGGTGCCTCCATAATAAAGAGACCAGCACATCCGACCTTGCATGGATTAATGGACTGGGTTACATTTGTAATTGTTCACGATCTGCCATTGGAAAAAAAAAAAAAAAAAAGTTTTTGCAGAGTGCATAAAATACTCTGAAGAGAGCTACTCATATTAAGTTTTCGAATGCAGATTTCTGAAAGCTACTTTATATCAGGAATACACTATAACTTCTCAAAATTACCACTGATAGACATCCCAAGCGAAGTTTTGCAATATTTATTTTAAATTTTATGTTCAACGAAATTCGGTTTTATGCAACACCTAAAATCGATTCTTTTTTTCATGGAAAGAAAGTGGTTTGAGTCAAATAATTTTGACACTATAGTATTTCAGAATTCCGCTGTGAATTATCAGCTTTTATTACGTATCCCTTGGGGAGGGGGAACTTTCATAATGGTCATCAAAATTAAAGGATAATGAGAAAAAATATGCTCACTAAGTTAATGTTGCAACCAATGCCCAATGCTGTAATTATTTATATTGATTAAATACAACTGAATACAAAATCGCACTTCCGTGAATAAGTTAGCGCCGGAAATATGTAAATACGATAACTGACAGTGTGGAACGCAATGGACGCATGTCCGATTTCCGGTCTGTAGCATTGTTCACAGTGAATGTGATTTCTCAGAGTGATCGGTATTCAGTAGTTATGGCTCAAAGGCATCATTTAAGAGGAGCTCAAAAGTGGCGAATATTTGGTAGAATCGAAGGAGTTTAAACAGAAATGGAGATCGCCCAAAATTTGAATATCTCTCAAAGTGTCGTATCAAAAGTTCGGAGCCGCTTTTTAAGCACTGTATAAGTTAATAGACGACCTGGTCAAGGGCGACCAAGAACAGAAACTGTATCAGAAAACCGTGTTTAGTCGTCATCGGTTTGAAGAAACCTCAAAGCGATTTGTTCTTAGACCATCAGGCTGCCACAGGAATTCCAATTAGCCGTTACGACGTTGGACTATATGCGAGAAAAACCAATGGTTTGTGTCGCACTTATTCCAGCTTCCAAAGGGTGCCAAAGGGGCTTATTTCAGCTTCCAAAGGGGTTTAAACTGGTGCCATCGTCATGTTCAATGGAGCCAAGACGACCGAGCCCGAGTATTTTGTCCTGACGAGTCCAGATATAGTCTGAACAGTGATTCTAGATCTGTTTGATCTGCAAACAGAAAGCAGCACGCAACTTGCCTTCTCTTGTCCGTGAAACATACCCCCGCTCGGAGATATGTGGACGAGGTACTGGAACGCCGATTTAGACTGTTTAGGGATGGCGCTGGACCAGAGTTTTTGCTCATGGAATGACAATGCTCGGCCTTATCGAACATATGTGATGCCAGAGCACTTACAAATAGAACATATCATTCAAATGGACTGGCTAACTTACTCACCCGACTTGAACTCGACTGAGCATGTATGGGATGCCTTAGAGCACCGAATTTCAGCGCTTTAAATTTCTCCTGCAGACCCTTCCTAGTATCTGAAAGGTTCACGTTTAGAAGAATGGCGTGCAGTTCCACAAGACTTGATCAACACTTTGATAAATTCTATGAAATCAAGATATGAGGTAGGCGTACTGAGGTGATCATACACCATATTAAAGAAAAACATTTTCCACAAGAGGCGACTTAATTTTTCCATCCTTTTCCAGTTTCCATAAATTTGGTTTTAATTTCAATATTTTGCGAGTAATTAACTGCCAAGCTTTGTAATTTATGTTAATTAAAGCTTTTGTACGAATTTCTATCAATAAATTTTCATTAAATATCGGTTACGTTTTATATCTGTCATTATCCCTTAATTTTGATAACCGTACACAGAGTGTTATTGCAATATTATAACACTCAGTGTGCTATTCCAATATTACAATACACAGAGTGTTATTACAATACACAGAGCACTGCTACAATATTACAGTACACAGAGTACTATTACAATATTACAACGCACACAGAGAGCTGCTACAATATTACAGTACACAAATAGCTATTACAATATTACACAGAGTGCTTGCTATGTTACAATATTACAATGCATAGAGTGCTACTACACTGTTACAATACACAGAGTGGTACTATAGTACTACACGATTAGCAATAAAAATTTTTTCTTTCTTACAGACGTTTAAGAAGATAGGCTGCTGGCGTTGGGGATAACTGCTGCATACGGAGATAAGAGGTTTGGGTATCAGAGTTGGTCAATGCAAAGATGGCTACCTCATTGCCGACATATGCCGCGTTAGAGGAACGATTATGTAATGTGTTTTTTAAGCAGTGAAAATGTTAAACCAATCAAAATTCATCACAGGATACATATACTGTACGGTGGCTGCTAGGTGTCTCTGCGGCACGTATATCTAATAATTCAATAAAATAATAATAATAATAATAATAATAATTACGATATCTGAAAGGGTTCATATTTTAACGATTGGCCAAAAGGATTTATTAAGGTTTTTTTTTTCAGCTCTCTCTCAGCTTGCAGTCCACCAGTCTGTTGTGCACTCACTCCTGCTAACCTTTTTTTTTTTTTTTTTTTTTTTAGCTTTATTATTATTTTCTTCGCACTTACGCCTTATACAGTTCAACAGCAAAATTTAAAAAAATAAATAAAAAAATAAAGTAGCATAGCAGTATATATTTAGACTTTCCAAGGCAGCGCTAAGTGATCAGTCTTTTCTCAGTCCATCATATCAATGTTTAGTTTTCTTACTAAGATGTCTTTAAAAAACTTTTTTTTAATCGTTCAATTATTAACATTCTGTGCGTCTACTTTATTTATCAAATATCACGTTATTGGCGCTTACGCCGCATAAAATTCGATTCAAAAGCAAAATCACAAAATATTTAAAAACAGCGTATTTTTAGCATTTCCGATAGAGTTTCGCGGGCTGAAGATGAAAACATTCTCTTTCCTACATTTGTACACATACATTTTCTAGGTATTTTTGAAGCAGGAGAAATGAAAAATGAACAATACCCTCGTCAGGATTCGAACCACGGACAAAGAACGTCAATGTAAAGAAGGAAAGGCTCCATAGACGTAATGTAAGCCAGTTTGTTTAGAAAGAAAAGGGAAAATTCGCCAAGGGAGTTGGCGACGGAACCTATTGTCGAGAATTTCCCTCTTTGTGATGTACCGGACCTGGCCGACATTTTCCTCCTCCGCGACGTGTTCAGGAAATTGAGGAACACGGGTTAAGATGAATTAGAAAATTAGGTGAAGCTTCATTTTCACTGGCTATTGAACTTGCATTATCCATATCTCAGTTTGATGTCTGACTTTACATCCGTCAATATGGAGGGGGAAAAAATGGGGTCACACAGCTTTAAACTCTTGATAAACGTGACCGTTGAACATGTTCGAACTTCGACATCAGCTTCGAGCTTTGGCGCTTTTTGGCGACAGATAGATATTTCACGCATACGCAGCTGTTTCCCTTTTCGTTCGAAGGGAGCCACTCCTGCTGCTGCGAAGTTTTCCTTCTTAACAATATAGTATATTATTTGCTATGGACCTCTCGAATACGCGTCGAGCGTGTTGAACACTACACCATGAAAGCAGGCTAAGAAGGGGGCAGAAATGCCTTATATATATTCCCCCTAGTAATGGGCGACTAGGGTTTTAGGAGACCCAACCGCCAAATCCTGGTGGTGGAGAATTATCTTCCACTGACCATTTTAGTTCAGGCCATACTTGTAGAGACATTAGGTTATTTCGAAGCAAGAGATGTGAAAAATGAGCAATGCCCTTGCCGGGACCCGAACCACGGACCTCTCGAATACGCGTCGAGGGTGCTAACCACTACACCACGAAGGCATACTAAGAAGGCGGGAGAAATAGCTTATACAGTGTTGGGTTTGCTCGTTTTGTAATTGTTGAGTTTGTTAATCAAAAATTCTAGTTTTACAGGATTGAAATAGATAATAAAACAAATTTGAAATTCAAATTTCGGGCTTCCAGGTGCCAATGTTTGGGTGGAGGACTATGTAATTCAAAGCTTGATGGGTCTAGGTACCGTTGATTTTTCACAGTGTGAGAAACGTGAATACATTCATGCAGATTCTTCCTTATTTAATTCTTTTAAATGTAATACCGAGAAATAAATAATATTTGGTTGCAAGAATTTGAAGTGAAACGCCGTTTATAGTGATTCAACGCAAAATGCCGTTTCGAGACTAATGTCCCATTAAAGACTAACGTTCTTTTGCGAATTCTTTTGATGCATCACAGCTATTTAAATAATCCTATTTCCTACAAATTCAGCAAAATTTAATAAATCTCTTTCACAGAATATAAAATTAAATAAAAGTAAAAGGTTGTACCAGTTTTCCTCAAGAAGAAATTTCTTTTTGCCACAAATATATTCTTGTTAGAGTAAACTGCACAGGTCACAATTTTGTTTCCCAAATCGTGGCTCTTTTTAATGAAGACCGAACTTCGATCTGCGTTGAGTTTCATACTGCTCGGCAGATTGAAGCTACGCTGGAGATCGGTATCGCTCATTTTCCACTCGTACTGAATTGAAATCAGAGGAAGTTCAATAAAAGCTCTGGCAGGAATAATGACTTCTTCGGCATGATACAAATTACCCATATCTGAAATACATACGTCTGGTTTCTCAACTATATTTACAAAGGATGTAAGAAAAGTTTAGCATTATGAAAAAAGCTTATAGAAGCTTTTCAAAATGCTACTGTTTGTTTATAGCATACTAGCATTCTAATTAATACATTCAATATTAATAGGATTAGTCTGAGGACAAGCGTGACGTATTTTATCAAACATAGCTGTTCAGAAATCTTCTTGGTTTAAAAAAATTTTAAATGTGCCCACAGGTAAAAATCTATATTATAATATCCGAGTTTCGCATGAATGTTTCCATTCAGCAGACGATAAATTTACTTGCTAGCAAAACAGCAACGCGCATAGATTAAAGTTTTTGGAATAAAAGTTATTAGGCAATCTATCCAGTGTTCTTAAAACTATCCATTAATTTCTATGATCTACACTTAAAAAAAAAAAAAAAAAAAAAAAAAAAAGTGAGAGTTCTATATCTCCCGTTCTACTGGGCCCATTGACGAAATTTAAATAACGTGTTTCATGTCTCGAAAGCGCGACTTAAGATATACATATACATACATATATATTAAATTTACATATAGCATTGTCCTAATAGCGGTATTTTGACCCAACATTTGACTGGATTTTTCCAGAAATGACATGCCAATTTTTTTTTTCATATTTCCATTCTACAACTCAAATTATGCCTAAATATTAAATTTTGTAAACTTTGGTGCTAAATTTACGGAGAAATTCATAAATTTATTTTGGCGCATTGTTTTCAGTTTGCGCCAAGAATAATTCACTTGGCGAACTTCTTAATTTATGGCAACCCATTTTCCTTCTTTTGTTTTTTTCATCGTACACGAGCGGAAAAATGGTCATCGTTCATACTTTCAAACAATTTTAACCACATTTGGCGTTATTATCGCTTATAATGAATATGCCAAACTTCAGAACGCCCCAAAAATGTAAATTCACATATATCTTAGGAAATTTCGAGTAAAAAACTCTAATTTTTTGCAGGTATGTACATATACTTTAAGATGATGGTAAAACTTTTATAGATTATAATTCAAATTGTTTTTTGAAAAATTTATAAATTTAAAGAATAAATCATAAAAAGTGGGCGAATTTTATTTGGAATGAACCTCAATTTCGAACTGTGAAAAGCAGAATCAAGTAAGTTTAACAAAAAAAGAGAAATCAATAAATATATATCAAATTCAATTAACATGGAGGAGCTAAAATTTTGAGAGCTAATTTTTTAAAAATTACTCGTGCGATTTTTAGAAAACTTAGTAGTTTGGCATAATTTGAGGCGTAGAATCAAAATATGGAAAAAAATTGGCATGTCATTTCAGAAAAAGTTCGATTTTGTGTCAAAATACCGATATTAGAACAATTCTATATATAAATCTAATACATATCCTATAAAATATATATACATATATATATATATATAAATAAATATATATATAAATATACATATAATATATATACATATAAATATATATATATATAAATCTAATACATATCCTAAGTCGCGCTTTCGAGACATGAAAAAACGCAAGTTGAATTTTATCAACCGGCCCAGTAGAACGAGAGATAGAACTGTCCCCCTTTTTTTTTGCGCAGTATACATATGTGACCACTTCTATAACATTTTATTAAACTTTTTTTTTTTTTTTAAAGGTACGTAACGTAAGATTTTAAATACATTAACTCATTCAGCAATTTCATTTAATTCTTTTCAGAAACCTGCCATTTTTGAAGAATAAAAAGTCTCTCGAAATAAAACATTTTTTGGAAGAAATTTAATACGAATGATAAATTTTAAGTAAATAAACAATGTTTTCAGTCTAAGGGACAAAATTACAGTTTAAACAAAGTGCTCCCTTTAGTCCAGAGAGTTTCATCTATTTTCATCATGACCAGAAGTAAATTTACCGTTTGTCGCTCTAATGTTTTAGTTTCATTAACCATTGCAATCGTTATCTTTAACAACCATAAAATCAAAGTGTTGATCAAATAAAAAGAATATTGAAGAAGTGCTTCGTCCTGCAATGTCGACTATTTTGCCAATATTTGATAATATAACTAAAAATAAACAGATACATTCTTCCCATTGTTACTTAATCATGGTATATGCGCTGTTAAAAGTAAGTGGTTTTTCTCAGTAGTGACCTTCCAAGTGGCTACACTCACTCAATGGATAGACTATAGTTAATGTTTGAATTTGCTCAAGAAATTGAATTTATTTTTATTGCTGTATTATACTTTTAAGTTTGTTACTTATTTAAAATTTTCACATTGCTCTGTCTTAAAATTAAAGCTAATGACTTAAAACTGCAATAGTACAGAGTGTTTCTAAATGAATATTGGGGTTTTAGCGCTTCGTAGTATTTATCACGTAAAACTTAAAATTATAAGCTTGATTTATAAGCTTGAATTATAAGCCTACAAGCTTGACAAGTGTTAAATGTGAGCTCCTTTCGTCACACGGAACACATCAATTCCATAGCCCAGTTCTTCCCAAACGCTGATTAGTGTTTGTGGTATAGTTGCAGCAATTAGCTGCCTCAAACCTCTTTCTTAGGTCGGGCAGGTCAGCTGGTAGTGGAGGCACATACTCACGATCTTTTATGAACTAACTCACACAATCCTTTATGAACTCAACACTTTGTTCACTAACCCTCGGTCGTCCCATACTCTTCCCTTTGCAAAGGCAGCCAATATTTTCAAACTGGATGATACATCTACGGATGTTATTACCACTTGAGGAATCACATCTGAACTTAAACCGGAACGCGCGTTGCACAGTAACTACAGATTCGGTCTCTGCAAACTGCAGAACACGAAAAGGTTTCTGTTCACTAGGCGCCATTTTTTCTACTATTTGCCATTTTCGCTACTCTAAGCGCATGCGCGTACCAACAAACAGAACTGTCTGAGTTGCTCTTTCATTGCATGTATTAATTACGATATAAAGTTTTATATAATAAATACTACAAAGCGTTAAAACCTCGGTATTCGTTTAGAAAAACACTCTGCACAGTACAGTACAAGTAAAGAAGCTGACAGTTTCACTCAAGCATGTATCGTATTCACGCAGTGCTTATGGGGTTCCACGAAATTTTCGTAAATATTAAGGGGGTCCCCACACTAAAAACTTTAAGAAACACTGCAACAAGTGATAAAACAGCAGAATCAGTGCCACAGCCGATCTGATAAATAACTTACCGATATTTATAGGTTCTATGCAGAACTTCATAAATGCTACAGTTCTTTTATTTATTTCTCGTCTGCTATTTTTATCAGTCATTTCCAATGTGACATAAAAATAATTGTAACTGAAGTCGATCTCTGTGAGTGGTGATATTCGCAATTCATATGCATTCCTTCCGCTTCCAGTGATGATGTTCCAAGGTGTAATTCCATCTGGTGGCGAATTAAAAAATTTACACATCAACTCATAAACGCAAGTTATTATTTCAATAAAATTTAGGTTTTAAAAAAAAAAAACTAAACTTTGTATAGTTCGACCGTCTCAAGGCAACCCTGGTTGGCATTCTGCCAAAAAACATAGACTCGCCCAAAAGGGGCGGTATTACTTGCTGCGACGTGAAAAGTCTTCCCTTCTCCGGAAAGAGCTATGCTGGAAGGAAAGAAAATCCCCATTCTTCCCCCCTATTTTGAGAATAATTAGGTCCGAATGGCGCATGCGTGTTTGCGCTCATGGTCGCGGATGAGGCGGTCGAACTATATTGACGTTAAGAAAGATTCTTACGCTTAATAAACCGTACTTCAAAATGACTCAATGAAATTTAGATGAAACTTCGAAATGAGAAATTGTCTACCTCCCGAAATTGTGAAGTAGTTAAATCAAGAAATAATGATTTTGAGAAAGTCTGAAGAGCAGTAAACTTTCGGTGAACTGGGGTAAACGGAGATACGTTACCGGAGATAATGTTTAATCTTAACTCAAAATCACGGTAAATCCGATAGCAGATTTTTTTAAAAAAAGGCTTCAGATTTTAAATAACGTCCAAAGGGGCGTTTTTTTAACGTTTTCTGTGTTACCTTTATTTATTAAATATCATGTTCTATGTACTCAAACCATAAAATTCAGTTCAACAGCGACATCGCTAAATAACTTTAAAATGAGCATATTTTTAGAATTTCCGATACAGAGTCTCGTGCGCTGGAGATAAAAATGTTTTTTCTGTACAACGTTGCCATAGCTTGCTTTGAAATTTTCGAGTTTGTTAATCAAAAATTGGTTAAAGTTTTACAAAATATGAAATCGATAATAAACAACTATCAGATTCAAATCAAGCCTTCCACATGCCCATATTCTATGGAAGATTACGTTATTCAAAATTTTGATGGCTCGTTTTTTATACAAAAAATAATCTTATGGTTCTTCCTTTAATTTTAAAGTAAACATTCCAAATAACATTTTAAAATAAGAAGTTTAGAACTTAATCAGTATAATTAGGAGTAAGTTTTTAAAGTAACAGACTATTTAAGTGTAATTGAACTATTTTATTCACGCCATGAACTCATGAACTGTAACCGAACTATTTTATTTAAACGCCATCTCGTGGCGATATGAAAAAACGTCAGTCGACCTCCAGCCGCCATGATGATAGCTTACTATGTTATGTTATTCTCAATGTTTGATGTTCCATTTGGTATATGTTTCATTTTTTATGTATATTTCTTTTGTTTGTAACCGTTCCTGTGTGCTCTGTTAATAAATCCTTTTAAAGCTAGCCGGCATTAGTGTCTATTGAGGAACGGCTACATCACATTGGCGCCCAACTAAATTTGAATCCAAAATGGCGCAACAAAATGTTTAGAATTTCTGTTTGGCTTTAACAAGCTCTTACTCCCGAATTTAACTTTTAGTTGCTGGAGATCGGCTCAGTTTCTTTTCAGGTGTGGACTACTGGTCAAATATTCTGGAAACCAATTCTGGAATTAAAATTGTCATACCGTGCTGCTAGCACATCGAATCATCAACTGGACAATTTCAACGGAAAAGATAAGTTTCGTTTACATTATCGTTTAATCTGAGTTTAAAGTTCTTTTAAACTGATTATTTATTATAAGCTGCTTCTTAAAGCAAATGTAAATTCTTTACTGAAATCTCATTTATTGATACTACATAAGAGTATTAAACGAAAGCAAACGGCTTTCTGTTAACCAAACGTTATTTCTTGAATTGTAATTTGTTATTTTAAAATGTTAATGCGCATAGTAAATTAATTTGTGAATAATATTGTTTCACTGAATACATGTTTTGATGTTAAAGTTTGAATATATTCATGGACGTTGTTCATTAGAATTTATTAGTTTCGATTCTGACATACAGCAGCAGATGTTTTCCCCCCGCGGAAATGTTTAGACTAGCGATGATTTATGATGTGTTTACGTCAAATCTTTTATTATTTTTATTTCCTTTGAGTGCTGTTGTTCCTTATTAAATGTTTTATTCTACATAAAATAAAATATTGTACTTGTTGATTTATCTTTCGACGAACATTTTGAGAAAATGATTATAGTATAATACTTTAAGAAAATACGATTGTTTTCCTTTAATGAATGCATGTCTTAAAAAATATTTCTTGAAGCGAAAGAAAATAATTATGAATAAAATCGAATGACTATTTAAATAAAGTAAAAGAGTTACTAAGTGTGTGTTGCTTAATCAGCTTAATATTTTGTTAAGATTAAGATTTCGAAGAATTCAGCTTAAATATAAAAGCTTATGGTAAGACATTTATGTATGTTTTGTATGTTTTGCTAAGTAGTAAACAATTTTTGAGCAATTTATTATATGTTATTTTCTTGATACAAGTTGAATTTATGAGGGCATTTTATGATATTTTTACGACTCCGAAATAATAAACTTTGTGAGTATTATTGTTTACATTTATAAATACTGTTTAATAGTGGTATATAAATGTACGAGTAACATTGTTTACATTCATACATGCTGTTTAATAGGGGTATATACATTTTACTTAAAGGTATAATTATTAATTCTAAAATACTGTATTGTGAATAAAATCGAAATAACAACAAATTCAACTTCATCTTTTCCCTCCCCCCTGACCTCTCATATAATTATGGCTTACCTTGCCAAAGCACGAAAAGAGGATTTAAAAACTCTCGCTGCAGAACTGGGTTTCACTGTAAACGACACTATGCGAGTAATAGATCTTAAAGATCTTATTGTCAATTCTGACACTTATGATGAGGCTTTTACCAGGAATCTTCTGGAAACTTTAATCGAAACTAGACAACAAAAACAACGTGAAAGCAACGATCTGGAGACACGTCAAAGAAAAGAACAAGAACTTTTATTAGAATTGGAACGTTTAAAATTAAACCTGGCAGCTGCTAGCTCAAACCCTAACTATGCCGCCTTTGCTTCAAATGCAGCTATTGGAACAAATATTCAACACCTAATCCCTAAATTTACAGGAACTTCTGACATTGCAACCTACCTGCAAATTTTTGAAAGACAATGTGAGAAAGTTAATATAAAACAAATAGATTACATCACTCATCTCCTACCTCTTCTGCCTATAGACATTTCGCAAATTATTTTAAGAGAACCAAAAGACAAATTAGAAGATTATTCTTACATCAAGAAGATTCTGCTACAAAGATTCAAATTAAATGCTGAATCATTTCGAATTAAACTACTACACACTACACACACCAAAACACCCTGGGTCCTTATGGAAAGATTTTACTTACGAATTAAACAATTATCTCGAAGAGTGGCTCTTCATAGTCTCGATGTTACAGACTTTGAATCACTCAAAGACTTGGTCCTGACGGATCAGCTTAAAAGAAGAGTCAGTAGTGACGTTAAGGAGCATTTTATTGATACTTGGGGAAAAATAAAGAGTTCATCTGAATTAGTACAGAAATTGGATGATTATGAAGCTGTACGTGTTAAAAATACGAACTATAAAACTGAACTTCCTGGCAGGCGGAACTATTCTTACAAACCGACTAATCCATCCAAACACAAAGTAGAAAATCGAACAAGTGACATACAGGGAACTCATAAAACCTTTTTCAAATCGTGGTCAGCAACAAACAGAGGAAAAGCGACCTCCTTTAACATGCTATGGGTGCGGAAAAACTGGTTTTATCAAGTCTAAATGTCCAGACTGTAACCCCCCAAAGACTTCAAATTCATCAAATTTTGGCACTATCCAAATCCGATCCTGTTTATCTTCCACTCGGACTGCTGTATTTCCAATTAGTATTGGTGGTGTTTCCGGTACAGCTTTCGCCGACACTGGTGCTAGTCACTCAATTGCAAGTGAATCCCTCTATCATATTCTGCAAAAACAAGATGCAGTATTTGAAAAGACAACACTACAGGTGTCTTTCGCTGATGGTTTGGTATCTGAAAAAGAGGTACTTCGCACCGAACAAATCATTCTTCTCGAAGGCAGAGAGTTCAAAACTCCGCTCCTTGTGTTGCCTGATGCCAAAAATAACTCGACTCTGTTAGGAACTGACTTTCTTCAAAAAGCTAAAATTGTTTTAAATCTTGCTGAAAATAAGTGGAACTTTTCTGATGAACCTCGAAGAAAATATAGCTTCGTGAAACCTCATCAATCCCAAGTACTGGAAGAAACCCCAGTTGTTGTAAACAACTGCCGACTACGAGAAAATGAAGGACAGCAATTAACTACAGCCCAACGGCTTGCAACTGATGCATTGCTTAACAAATATCACACTGTCTTCAAAGTAGGGGGAGAAACCACTAATCAAAAGCCATCTGGCTTACTTCAAATTCCAGTCTATGCTCAACGTTTTGAAACCTTGTCAATTGATCTTTTCGGTCCCCTTCCTGAAACACCGTCTGGTGAAAAATGGATTTTTATTGTGCAGGACTGTGCTACGAAGTGGACAGAACTATTTGCTTTAAAGGAAGCCACGGCCAGAGAATGTGCCACTATTCTTTTGGAGGAAGTCGCCCTTCGATTTGGGTTACCCAGGAAAATAATAAGTGATAATGGTACCCAGTTTACTAGTGCTGTTATGCAACAACTATGCTATATCTTGAACATTGATCAAAGTCTTACTCCTGTCTCTATCATCCCACAATCTAACCCAGTTGAAAGGAAGAATAGAGATCTGAAACCACGTTTAGCAATACTTGTTGGTAACGACCATCAGTCATGGAAGGATAAACTGCCATTAATAAGGTTTGCTTTGAATACAGCCAAATGTGATTCAACTGGACATTCTGCTTCTTTTCTTCAATTTGCACGAGAGTTACGAACCTTAGATGATGTAAAGCATGATATAAAAGCCGTAATTGAGAACGATAATTTTGTTCCCGAAATTACTCCATATTTGAAACGTTTTGCAAGAAATGTACAACAGGTACGAGAAAGAGT